GGCACCTTTAATTTTTAACCCAAACTTTATAATATTTTGGATGTATTCCAAAATTATAAAAATACTTGATTATATTTACAAACTCGCATCAGCTATAAGCGAAAAAAATATTAACATCTATACAATAGTACCGGGTGGTCCAATAAGCCGATGTCTCGGCTATATATCAGAAACTATTCATATTATAACTTCCTTAGTAAAAGTGGATAAGAGAAATCACTGGAAATAACTTTCAAGTTTCTGGGTTAACCGCTAGGGGGCGTAACCTGTGAAGAAAACTTTGATAACCAGTTTTTTGAGAAATATGCCCAATTATACCAAGTATTTATTAAGTAAACTAGAAAGAGGCCTAAATTCTGCACAAATTTGTTCAAGTACTTTTTTTTATTTTTTCAAATAAAGGGTGGGTGAGAGTGGAGAAATATTTGTGGATAAATATCTATAACTTTGGTTTGGATCAACCGATTTTAACAAAATAAGTGTCATTAGAAAGAGTGTGGATAAATTAATTTAGATCTACTATAAAATAATTGCATTTAGTTTTAATTGTCATAGGTAGAGTGTACTTTCGAATAGAAAAAATTTAAATTTGTTTTTCTTCAAAATGTTTAATAGAAATACCTATTTATTGTAAATTATAATGGAATTGGATTAAATTCGTAACAAAATGGCGTAAACCGCATGTTAATAGCTTTTGTCGAATTCGAGATGTGAATAAAAACGCATAAACATAAGTAAGTATAGTATTGACTCACCCTGTATTATAAATTAAATTAAAAATATAGTCAGTGGACACTTTCAAATTTTTTTATAGCAGAAGAATCTTAATGTTCATACCTATTTTGACCATTGTTATTTCATATGATTAAAAATAGTTAGTTTTTCGAAACTAAGTAGGCTACGACAATGAATTTGACGGGGAGTTCATATTGTTTGTTTATTGACAGCAGTCAAAACATTGTTAAGAAGTGCTATATTATAATTCGAATTAAAGATTGCATTTTTTTCAATAGATATTAATATTGGTAATATTAGTAATTAATTATCAGTACTAATAATTCGTGATGAGTATATCAAATGCAGAATTGTATGATATGATTGGAGTTTATTTCGAATGTCACCAAAATGCCGCTATTGCCTCACGTATATATTCTATAAAATATCCTGACAGGAGACATTATGGCAAAGAAGTACTTGAAAGAAAGGCAAAAAGATTAAGAGAAACTGATAGTGTTCATCGTCCTTGTTTTAAACGATGTAGTAGAGGTATGACCGAAGATAATTCATTTAATTCAACAGAATCCACATATAAGTAGTCGGTAAATCTCTATAGAATTAAACATTCCCAAAACTACTATTCTAAGGATTTGAAAACATCGCAGGATGGTTTTTCATATTATAAAGTAAACGTTTAGGTCAAAAACTTATCCCTTTCAATTCCCTTTAAATTTTAGATTTAACCGTTATTTTAACATTCCGATAAAAACAGCAACACGGAGCTTTTATCCTTTTATCCTTTTCTTGAAAATACTTATGCACGATTTATCTTGTGAAACAATTTTTTGAGTTTTAGTAAATATAGTGGTTTCTTTCACCACATAGTGGTCACCAATATTTTTTGTTCTGTTTTTTAGACTGCATCCTAATCATGTACTTCTCCACCAAGCTTTACATGAGAGAGATTTTGATGCAAGGCTGGATTACTGCAATTGGATATTAGGTCTGCTAGAAGAACAACCGCATATCATGTCAAAGATTTTGTGGACAGACGAGGCTACGTTTAATAGTGCGGGTGGTGTTAATCTGCATAATATGCATTATTGGGCTAAAGAAAATCCGCACTGGATACATGAGGTGCAGGTTCAAGGAAGATAGAGTCTTAATGGTTGGTGTGGTATAGTTGATGGAAAGATCGTAGGTACATATTTCTTTGATAGAACTTTAAATGGCGAAACATATTTGGATTTTCTGGAAAATCAGTTGGCTGTTTTATTGGAAGATATTCTCCAGACTTATTGTCTGGACTTTTATCTGTGGGGAAGATTGAAGGACTTAGTGTATCAAACTCGACCAACCATGTGTGACGACATGAAACAGCGCATTATAAACACAATAAATAGTATATCAACAGCTGAGATTGAAGCAGCTGTTATGTCTACGCGCGAAAGATTACATCTTTACGTGGACAACGATGGAAAACAATTTTAACATTTAATTGGACATTAAGTTGTAATGACCGAGATATTTGTATGATCTTTCACATATTTAATTTTAAGTTATAATAAAGGGTGAGTCAATAATATACTTACTTATGTTTATGCGTTTTTATTCATATCTTGAGTTTGACAAAAGCTATCAACATGCGGTTTGCTTCACTGTTACAAATTTAATCCAGTTTCATTATAATTTACAATAAATAGGTGTTTCCATTAAACATTTTGAAGAAAAACAACTTTTAATTTTTTCTATTCGAAAGTACCCTCTACCCATGACAATTAGAACTAAATGCAATCGTTTTATAGTATGTGTATATTAAATCATCTACACTCTTTCTAATGACACTAATTTCGTTAAAATCGGTTGATCCTAACCAAAGTTATAGGTATTTATTCACAAACACTTTCCCACTCTCCCCCGCCCTTTATTTGAAAAAATAAAAAAAAGTACTTGAACAATTTTGTGCGAAATTTGTTATTTCCAGCGATTGAAAATGTTGAAAGTTATTTCCAGCGATTTCTCTTGGCCACTTTTTCTTCGAAAGTTTTAACATGATTAGTTTCTGATATATAGCCGAGAGATCAGCTTATTGGACCACCCAGTACATTAAATTTTGTATAAATAGTCTCACAAGCGTGATACTCCGTTTGGAGATCTGATGTCATCAGATGTCCATACATAAGGCGACTATAACAAAGCTGCAGTCGCGTGATGATCACCTGAGAACGATTAGTGGAACTATCAGGCCATAGTTGAAATGTTGGTTTTAACTCAAGTAATTTCGTCTATTTTTTATGCCATCTGCTAATGTCAACTATTTCGCTGTGGAAATATGATTTGGAACCTGTCGCTGGAGTTTTTGCGTCCTCAAAGGCTTCTCGTGCATATTTATCTGCCATATCATTTCCCGTGATTCCAATATGAGATGGCACCCATAGAAAAGCAATGTTTCTGTAATTTGGATTATGCTATTGTTATGAAAATATGGAAATGCAAAGTTAGGAAGAATTAAATAAAATATCTTAAACTCAGGTAAGGAGTCCTTGGAAAGAAAGATAAATAAAAATTAATACAAGAAAATTGCGAAGAAAAGAAAAACTTACTGGAAATATATGTCTCAATTAAATTTTTATAAGTAAAAACGTATTTTTTTGGGTAAAAATCATATGATTTAAACACGCAAAGGTTATATGAATATTGTTAGTTTCGGAACTCTCAGTTTGGGAAACAGTGACCTACACCGTTGGGAGCCATCAGTTATAAATGTTTCTCTCGATTTCAATGCTCGCCAAATAATTACTACCTGTACTCCATAAATTAGTTTGTTGAAATTGGCATCATGACCTCTTTATAAAGGGATTAAAAAGCTTTTAACATTATGAAGGTGACTACATTATACGAATGAAGGTACCTTCATAATATGAAGTGACGTAATAGTATTTATTAATTCTTTCTCTCTTTCCGAGAAAATCTATAAGCATCTTAAGTTAATCTATATACTAATGTATATATTTTTGATTCAATTTTTATTGTTAAATATATTATTTATAATATTATTTAATTAATATTAACATATATTAAATGGTTATTAAACAAATCTTATTTTCAATTTTTTTTATTAACTTTTTTTATTTGGTTTGAAATGTCCAATTTATCCAATTGAACCATAGGGTCATGCATGAACAAATGATGGAAGTGCTGAAGAGGACAGGGATTGGCGGAAAAGACTTAAAATAATAGCTAACCTGTATTGGAATCAATCAGTGGTACTCCGAATAGATGGAGAATATACAGATCAGGTCAAAATCTTAAGAGGAGTTTCACCACTGCATAATTTCACCATTCATATTCAATCTGTACTCGAAGCACGTTTTTGACGAGGCTCTAAAAGATATTAATGAAGGCATCTCAATAAATGAAGTCAAGCTCAATAACCTGCGGTATGTAGATGATACAATAGTGTTTTCCAATACCATAGAAGGGCTGCAAAACTGAATGAACAAAATAACGGAAACATGTAGAAAATATGGACTGGATATAAACACCAGCAAAACCAAGCTAATGATCATCAGCAAGGAAAACATAACTGAAGCAAATCTGTATGTGAACCAAATGAGAATTGAACGTGTCTTACAATACAACTACTTGGGAACTATAATCAATGAGTCCTGGGACAATACAAAAGAGATTAAATGTCGAATCGGAAAGACAAAAAGTGCATTCTTGACTATGAGCTCTGTGTTCAAGAGCCCTAACCTCACCCTATAAACAAAAATAAGGCTCCTTAAATGTTATGTGTACTCATTGCTTCTGTACGGAGTAGAAACGTGGACATTTAAGGCGGAAACTATATCAAAACTTTAGGCTTTTCAGCTGTGGCTATACAGAGGGATCCTGAAGATACCATGTACAGACAAATAAAAAAGTACTGCGGAGGATGAACACAAGTGCGGATTTGGTCAACATCGTGAAGAGGCGTAAGCTGCAGTATTTGAGACATATAATAAGAAATCAAGGCTGATATAGAAAGACCTCAACACAGCTGTTTCGTATAGCTGCTAACAAAGTCATCATAGCCAGACTGATCGCCAACGTTTGGGACGGACAGGCACCCTAAGAAGAAGAATTTATACAAAAAATTAACAAATTTGGGGCCAAAAAATTATACAAAAAGGATAAAATTTTTTATTCTGTATTAATAAAAATATATTTTTTTTTGTTAACTGCATTAACTTCTGTCTAAATCTTTTTAACTACTTTTTGATTATGGCTTTTTATTTCAGGATCCACGTTTTAACAATGAAATAGACCGGCGGACTGGTTACAGGACGAATTTGATTCTCTGTATGCCCATTTGCAACTACGAAGGTGACGTGATAGGTGTTGCCCAAATTATCAACAAAACCAACGATTCCCAAGATTTCACTGCTCAAGATGTCGAAGTTTTCCAACGGTATCTAACTTTTTGCGGCATAGGAATTCAAAATGCGCAACTTTTTGAAGTGTCGGTATTGGAGTACAAACGAAATCAGGTAAGGATTGTTTTAGATTAAAAAATACAGTATAAACATAAATTTCCAATGGTATTGCAGCTGGCTGTCTCCAGCATACGCCTTCGAGCCTTCGTTTCTTCATCTGTTCTCCTCTACGATACACCCTTAACATCTAACTAACATCGGTACTCATTTGCTCTTATTACATCTTCCTTGATCTTTGTACCCCCTCATTAAGTCTTGCCGATGCCCCACTTGTTTAGCGTTACGTAAACACTGAGGCTTTCCTTCTATTTTTTTATTCTGTTCTTCAACATTTGAATTTTTACGTTTATTTTCCTAAATCTTCCTCCATTATTATTAACCATTGTCTTTTGGATCTTCCTCTTGATTTTGGTTCTATCCATTTTATTTATTCCATTTTTTTCCTGCTTGGCTTGTATAATGAATTTACAGAAGGACCAGAGATCAGCGGAAAAGTTCCTCTTAATAACCTCAAAAGCAGAAGGGCTTTAATCAGACGAAAAAGAATAGTTCTTAAAAGTGTACCTAACTCAATCCTTATATCACGTATTAGAGTTGGAAAACTGGATACTCACTTCTGCAATTCTTGTGGTTGCAGTTTAAAATCTTTACACTTATTGCAGGAAAGTTTTTTAAGGCAATTCTTATAAACCATTGTTAAAACTTTAAATGTATCATTCATTTTTAAACGAGTAGCGAAAACTACTTGCTTCCATGTGGGTTTTTCGAAAGTACATTACATATGAACGCGCCCTAGTGTATCTCACAGTAACACCGGATTTGCTACGAGAGTTTCTAAAATGTATTTAAATATATATAAATCTAAAATATCGCTCGGATGGAAAACCTATGTATCCATCAAAGAATGGAGTTGGACTTCACTGTTTGATGGAGTTGGACATCCTCATTTAATATTTAATGAAAAAGAGATGTGGGTTGACGGTATGGAAATTAGCTACTGAATGCCCAAAGGGAATATTTAAAAATTTCAAAAAGATAAAAGAATCCTTGTAACAGTTGAGAAACACAAGGAAAAATCTCTCTTCGATGGATTTTTCAATGGAAACTGGTTTATAAATTTAACCTATCGCATATTGCTAAAACTGCTCGGGTTGTTAGAAGAATATGTTGTTACAGAACTTTATTTTAAAGTAAACATTTTACACATGGAAAGAAATCATAATTAATTGTAATAAAAATTACATTTCGGTTTTGTTTTGACATTTGGATTTCCGATTATTCCGAATCCATTTTGGATTACTGAAATCGTTTTCAAAAATATTTTTGAAATGAAATGGTGAATAATTAATATAACCTATAAATTTCAAGAACAAAATTGGAAATTTCGGATTCGGTACAAAAGATACAAGAGGAGAAAAACCTATGGAATTTCTTCTTTTTCCTCTTTATAAGCAATTCTGCTTGTGCATTGGCGGATTAATACCTCTATGAAAGGTTGTCACTCCATCTTTTGGAAATTAAAGATTAGTGACATATCTCTTGCTATTTTGACGGACACGGGTCTCCTCCATTTTGCTTATGTGGTTATTCAATTTTTTTTCTATTTTGTGGCTATTCACTTATACGCTGTACTTTACATTTTCTTCTGTCTTCACTTCTCTTTCGATCTCTCAGCGTTTTCCTGTAATTATTCTCAGTACTCTCATCTCTGCCGTAGCGTTTTCCTGTAATTATTCTCAGTACTCTCATCGCTGCCGTAGCTTTGTGTTATGGCTGTGTCTTTTTTCTAAGGCATATGTCTTTATTGGTCTTAAACTGGCTTTATAAATGCTTTACTTCTCCTCAGTGTTAATGTGTCTGTTGGTTCCCTATATAGTGTTATTAAGGCGTCCTTAAGTAGTAGAGCGGTACTTAAATGTGTCTAGAAGAGCTATCTCCAGAGGATGTAAACAACAATATGTTTTCGGGATGTCCAGCGAGTCCAAAGAACTAATGAGCAGATATGGAGCCCCCTATTCCACTGACCCTTTCAGCCAAGAAACGGTTGACAGCGGAACAGTACCACTCCAACAGCTAAGTCAAGCCAGAAAGGAAAAGTGGATGGAAACCCTAGAAAAAATGAACATGACACATAGTAGCAAAATAAGTAGAACCTTGTAAAGAAACTTAATAGTGATCCAAAAGAACAAAAACCACCGTGCAAGGTTACAGCAAACTAAGTCGCTGCTCAACTCCGTATGAATGAAAGAACTACGAACCGATATTAGGACCCAAATACTAGAAAAAGATCGGATTAGGAGATAAACCACCTAGGAACTCCTTTTACACTAAAAGAACTCTACGACGGTATAAACAGGTTAAAAAACGGGAAAGCTGCAGGTGTGGATGATATATGCAGTGAAAAAATAAAGCATCTAGGCCAAGAAGCAACAAACTGGATCTTGCAACTTTATAACACGTGCTGCAAATCCTGCGAAATTCCAGAATCATGGAGGAAATCTAAAGTAATAGCCTTATTAAAACCAGGAAAGGACCCAAAAAATCCCAGTAACTACAGACCTATTTCACTGTTGTGTCACTTTTTCAAACTATACGAGAGACTCATACTCGCCAGAATAGAAAAAAATGTCGACAAGTACTTCATCTCACAAGGAGGATTCAGACCTAGAAAATCTTGCATCAGTCAAGTCCTCGCACTAACAGAACACATTAAAGAGGGCTTTAAAGAAAAGCCTATACAGGGGCTGATTTCGTAGATTTGACAGTAGCCTATGACACAGTAAAACATAAAACATTACTCCGCAAATTATACGACACTCTTAATGACCACCATCTGGATAACGTCATATATTTCTTACTGCAAAACAAACGTTTTATTGTTATAACTGTGTATATTGTTTATACACATATACACAAACGACCAGCCTACGCCGATAGAAACCAAGCATTTCCAATATGCTGACGATCTTGCAATATATGCTCAAGGTAATAGTTTTGAAGAAGTAGAAGAGAAACTCGAAACTGCCTTAAAAATAAGCAAAGCGGCAACCGATCCCTCTAAAAGCCAAGTCTGCGCTTTCCACCTTCGCGCAAAGGAAACCAAGCGAAAACTGCAAATTGCGTGGAATGGTAATATATTGAAACACACAAACCAACCTATATATCTTGGAGTAACTCTGGACCGGTCTCTCACCTACAGACAACATTACATAAAAACAAGAGGAAAAATAATAACTAGGAACAGCATACTCAGAAAGCTAACGGGAAGTAAATGGGGTGCACGTCCTGGCGTTTTAAGAACAACGACACAGGCACTGTGTTTCTCAAATGCTAAATATGCGTGCCCCGTTTGGGGCAGATTTTCCCACACCAAACAAGTTGCTACTGCGCTAAATGAGACATGCAGGATAGTAACGGGGTGCATGAAACCAACGCCACTCTCAAATTTATATAAAACAGTAGGTTTTTCAGAACCCTCAATAAGCAGAGCCATTACAGAACACATAGAGAAAATTAAACAGATCGCGGACGAGCGGTATGCCCTCTACAAAGCTCTAACATCAGGAAAGCGACTAAAATCCAGAAAAAGCTTTATTGGAACAGTGCAGGATGAACTGCCAACTTCTCTATTATTCAGAAGATGGATCACATCTTTGACTTTTACTATGTCAAACGCTTTTTTAGTTCAATCAGACACAGAAATGCTCGTCTATTATACTCTAGTGAGTATAATTCTGAGTAATTTCCTTTATATATATATATATATATATATATAATATATATATATATATATATATATATATATATATAGTATAATTAGTTTGCTCGTTCCCCATTCTTCTGGTATTCTATTGTTTTATAATTTTATTAATTAATGTTTTTAATGGTTCTGTCATTACTACTCCAAAATATTTCAATAATTCGTTTGGTATCCCGTCTTTACCTGCTGCTTCTTCAGGTTTTCAAGTATTTTCCGAAGTTTCTGTACTTTTATATTAGGTTCAGCCTTTGTGAATGAATTCATGGAATTTCTGGGATAAGAAAAAATTTCTACTATGAATACGTAGTTCATATTGAGACCAACCGAGCGGATGAAGGTTTCCTTATCACCATGCGACAGCGCAGTTAGGTCCAGGGACCTAACATTAGGGCTTAACTACCAAACTTTATATAGACTTTGCTTTTAAATAATCGCATAACCATAAGTCTAAGGGAGTTAAATTTAGAGAACGAGGTGGCCATTCATTAAAATATCTGTCCGAAATTTAACTTTTTGTTGCATTTTTATATGACCTTATTGAAACCAATGTAGATTTTCCGTTTACACAAGTTTACAAAACTCTAAAAAATAAATTCTTAAATAAAAAAGTTTCTCTTCTCGGACATCCCTTCTGTAGACACACTGTATAATTATTGTATTAAATATATACATCTCGAACAAGACATTATGGTAAATAAATTGATTTAATTAAAAATATACCTTAAAGGAAAATTAACAATATCAAATCCTTTTTTATCCCCACGGATCATTATGCCTTCTTTTTCTAAATAATTCAACTTTCCAGTTTGGTTTCTTAGTGATAGCATTCGGGGAATTTAATTTGAAAAGTACAATCCGTCTTCATTTCCATCATGACGTATAATAAATCTCTTAAGTTGACTTGAAAAGCTAAAAACCAGATATCTGCATTCTACTTAGAAAAGACTAAGTTAGAACGAATGGAAGCGTATAATAAACACATGGGAATTCAGAAGTGTTTGCTTTAAAATTAGTTAAGACGTAAAATTGCAAGAATAGTGCGTCAAAATTTATAAGCGAGGATTAAGATTAGATACAATATTTATATTTTTGAATCGTGGAATATTGTTTTTATAACATATTTTTATAATTTACATATATTTCAAAAAACGGCTGCAAGAAAATCGAAATGAATATACATAATACTGAAAAATAAAATAACATAATATAGTAATACATAGAAAACCAATATAACTAACAATGGATATATATATATATATATAATATATATATATATATATATATATATATATAT